CCTCTTGCCCCCCCCCCTAAGAACTCGCGAACGGTATGTCGTATGACCACCAAATTTTCACAGAATGGTGTACTAGTGAAAATTTATCATATCTACAATTTTTATGTCGTTATGACGTAATATGACGTCATTATGACGTCATTAATGTGATTTTATTGGCCAAAACCGTCTAAATAGGTTTTTCCCTGAAAACCTCCCTGGTATACAACATAACTTTACCAAAAGTGTTTATGACAGAATATTAGTGTGTACTAAGTCTTATGTTGCCCATAGCAACACCGGTGACGTCATAAAATGACGTCATGCATATTTAAGATATCCGCCATCTTGGATCATCAATCTTGAATTTTCAAAGATAGTTTTTTTTCATGATAAAGCCTAAAATACATTGTAAACATACTAAACACCTTCATTCAAACCTTTTTTGTCAAAAGAAATGGAAGTATTGATGAAATTTTAATGAAAATAACCCGTATATACCTGTTCTAATGATATGGTCCGCCATCTTGGATTTTGGCCAATGACGTCATCAAATTAGCATAAATTATGCATATTTAATGATAAAATTTACATAAAATTTATTTTGGGATGTTATTAATATTAGAAACCATGAGTAACTTGACATAAAACCCATAAAATTCTAATGTTGAAACAAAAAGTACTAAATTTAGCAAAAAATGCCTGTCAGAAACCCGTTACCATGGCAACACAAAAAATTAAGATCTTATTCCAAAGATAGAGAATTGTTGCCAACAATATTTTAGGAAAAAGTCACCAAGTTTGGTCGTTTTACGGCTAGCCGTTCAGACGCTAGGTGACATCAAAGTTGCCGCGGGCACTTTTAGCCCCCCCCCGGTCTAGGTAGGGTTAAGTCCTTTTTATTGAATACTCTGCCAACTAAAACTTGTTTGATTTGCCATTTATACACATGTATGTTCTTCATGCTATATCATTTATGTCCTTTTATGTTGTCTTCCGAGACTGGACTGCCAATGATGATGTTGTCGAATGCCAGTTATCTCTTTTTGCTGAGCTGTTTTTAATGTATGACTACTAATGAAAGAAAATGTCAAGCATCGAATCTGCTGTCTTGTTTTCATGTAGGTTGAAAATTTCATCCTGCGCATGGCAGCGGAGTTCCCACTGCGGAAGGAGCAGCTGGTCTTCCTCATCAACAACTACGACATGATGCTGGGGGTTCTGATGGAGCGAACCAGCGAGGAATCCAAGGAGACAGAGAGCTTCCAACAGCTGCTTCAAGCCAGAACACAGGTGAGAGTCCTGAACAGTAGCTTCAAGCCAGCACATAGGTGTGAGACCTAGCACAGTAGCTTCAAGCCAGAACACAGGTGAGAGACCTAGAACAGTAGCTTCAAGCCAGCACATAGGTGTGAGACCTAGCACAGCTGCTTCAAGCCAGAACACAGGTGAGAGACCTAGAACAGTAGCTTCAAGCCAGAACATAGGTGTGAGACTTTGAACAGTAGCTTCAAGCCAGAACATAGGTGTGAGACTTAGAACAGTAGCTTCAAACCAGAACATAGGTGTGAGACTTAGAACAGTATCTTAAAGCCAGAACATAGGTGTGAGACTTTGGACAGTAGCTTCAAGCCAGAACATAGGTGTGAGACTTTGAACAGTAGCTTCAAGCCAGAACACAGGTGTGAGACTTTGAACAGTAGCTTCAAGCCAGACCATAGATGTGAGACCTAAAAGAGTAGCTTCAAGCCAGAACATTGGTGTGAGACTTTGGACAGTAGCTTCAAGCCAGAACGTTGGTGTGAGACTTTGAGTAGTAGCTTCAAGCCAGAACGTAGGTGTGAGACTTTGAGCAGTAGCTTCAAGCCAGAACATAGGTGTGAGACCTAGAACAGTAGCTTCAAGCCAGAACATAGGTGTGAGACTTTGAACAGTAGCTTCAAGCCAGAACATAGGTGTGAGACTTAGAACAGTAGCTTCAAGCCAGAACATAGGGGAGTTCGTGAGAGACCTTTAACAATAGCCGTAACCGAGAACATAGTTAAGAGGCCTCAAACAGTAGGTCAAGTAAGAGGTCGCAAAAACTAGCTTCAAGCCAGAACACAAGTAAGAGAGCCTGAGAACCAAGGACATACATATACATGTAAATAGTCTTGGCCTTTAATAATGATGATACATGTTGATTTTGCACACAGGAGTTTGTCGAGGAGATCCTAGCACCACACTTTGGCGGTATGATCGCTTTTGTGAAGGAAACAGAGGGTCTACTGGAGAGGGGGCAGACGGAGCAAGTAAAGAACCAGGACGCTCGCATCACCAAACTGGTCCGGGGGTTTGCTGTCAACTGGAAACAAGCCATAGACGTTATTAATCAGGAGGTCATGCGTTCCTTCACCAACTTTAAGAATGGAACACAGATTTTGCAGGTATAAAGATACAATACAGAATATTGATATGATAAGGCCACACCAATTTAATTTCTTGGTTAATGGATTTTTCTAGAAAAATAATGGAGCGGGCGGGCGAAAAAAAAAAAAATAAAAACAGGCCTAGGCATCCTATTATGGGCCAAAATGGTACGATAGGAGCCATGGAGTCAACACACCAGACTGGTTCAAAATTTTAACAATGAATTTTGAACTTTTAATGATACCATTGTATTGAAAGTTGGAATAACTGTAACAACTAGGATGAAAAGGACTGTTTTTAACTGTTCAGGGCAAAATATGAGCATTATTTTTATTTGCAAATCAGAAAAAAATGTGGCGAATCCGTTAACCAAGAAATTAAATTGGTGTGGCCTAAGTACAAAATATGGTGCAATTACTTGTCAAAGTACATGTACTTAGCAGCAAGGCAGCAAATAAATATTCACACATACCTACATGTGTATAATATATAAACCCAGTACAATAGATCACCCATATGCAGGTGGTATTTTCAGTCCTGATGAAAATCATACATGCATGTTTTGACCTTGACTATTGTTATGTTGACCTTGCAGGTGACCTTGACCCAGTTGATCCAGTACTACCATCGCTTCCAGAAGGTTCTGTCCCAGGCACCCTTCAAGGGGCTTCAAGTGCGCGGCGAGCTCATTAACATACACCATGTCATGGTGGAGGTCAAAAAGAACAAGCCTACCTTCTGAAGTCTTCCCCCATCCCATACATGTTCTTTTATAGAAAACTGTTGTATGATATCTTCTATGTTAATATAATTCCACCAGGTAAAGCCTCGGTCACAACCCGCCGTACGTGCATCTGCGTGCTGTCTACGTGAAAAAACGTAGGCAAATGTAGGGGATCCGTACGGAATCCTATGGATTCGGGAGACATGACGTAGAACTTAAAGTGCATGTAAAACTTTTTCTGCGTACGGTCTGCGGATTCACCACCCGTACGTGCGAGTACGGGCGATGCGCGTGACCCGTGTGTACCGTGCGTAAGAAGAACGTGTGAGTACAAGCACGTACAACTCACCACTTGCGCAACAAACAATGCACGCAACCGCTCACGGCTACACATGGCATGCAGACCACACTCTTACACCTCAAGCAACCGTGCGAGTGACATGCGAGTGACGTGCGTCGATGCCACTCCTTCCCCACGTTTTCAGAAAAACGTAGCAGACGTAGCCTCCCAATAAAACGTACGGACAAAAAGCATGTACGGCGGGTTGTGACCGAGGCTTAACTGAAGACTACATTATGTGCAAATAAACAATATCACATATCACAACCACAATAAAGGAGCATTATGTGACATTTTTGAACATTATTTAATTATATGTGTACAGGTATTTTGATTTAAAAAATCTTTGTGACTTGTCATATACTTCCAGTTTTAACATGATTTTACAATTATCTCACATTTCTGACATTTATAGTTGGCACTACAACAGCCCACACAAGGTGCACTGACTGAAGTTTCTACCATATATTTGCCTGCATCATTGTTGTTTCTTCTTGTTTCTTCTTTTTCCACATCATTTCTTTTTTAATTTTGCCACCAACCTTCCTAGGGCTGTGTACTGATACAGTACAACAAAGATAGATTTGGTACAGGTCCAACATACCTAATCACTAAGTACCCGTACATACCAATATGTCACAGAGGTGACCAAGGTGATATCTAGAAGGAGCATAACTAATATGCAACAGATCTTTCAGGAACACTTTTTTTTATTGTATGCAGCAAAAACAGTCCACATGGTTCAGTTTGAATATGGCATAAGGCTGCCTACTTCTGTCCTGTTTTATCAGAATAAAGATTCTGTTAAGTTTGTGACTGTTTTTAAAGTTATTAAGGAAGTTCAGAAGAACATAATGCTAATTTGTCAAATTGTTCAGGTACAGGTACAGGTCCTGTACCTAAACCTCTGTACCGGTTCCTGATGTTACAGTATCGCTTAGGTATGCAGCCCTAGACCCTCTATCCTCGTTACATTCCTATCCTTTTACATCTGGTGATAAAATGATTTGTTATCTAGCATATGTGTGTTTGCTCTTAGCTCTGCATGGATATTTCTATAGTTAAGTTTTTTTTCATGTTTACCAAAGGAAAACAACATATGTTTTTGCTCTGTTTCTTCTTCTTTCGTTCAATGACCTTCACAACAAATAACTTGGCATCTGTCCCCGCAGGAGGGATTTAGACTCCTGTCACCATATATGTATATGAATATGTTTGAGTAAGAATTAACAGAGCAGACCATATGCAAAGGTAAACATTATGCATTTGCTTTGTTACCTTTCTAGGTAATCATAAATTAAGTCTAATTAAGTCCAAAATATACAAAATTGTGTGCACAAGTTTATGGTATAGATCTTTAAAAATACTGTGTAAAAAAGAGAATCCAGTGCAATCTTGTGGAAAATAGTAACATATGCAGTCTTGTTTTATCCCTGGCCTTGGTGCTGATTGGCCATCAGGACGGGTTCTACACCAATCAGATTTGGTTCTGACCCTGTCTTTGATGCTGATTGGCCAAACTGCCGGCTTCTGTTACTGTCCTTGGTGCTGATTGACTGGTCAGAGGGTCTACGTTTGGATGTGAAGGGAATAAGTCTTGTTAACCTTCTTTCTGCTAACTTTGGCAAATACGTATGAATGCAATAGAAATTTGGCACCTAAAGGCTACATGTACCTTCAAGTTGGCAGGAAGAGCATTAGAACTTTTATTAGATTGCATATCCTTATCATAAAAAGATAAAAATACTGAATAGGCATTTGCTAATTTATATTCTTTTACAGCTAGGCATGATCAGTATAACATGATCATATGTAGTTAAAGATGTAATACAATGTACTTTGTAATTTCCATGCACTCGTTCCTTCATAACATTTTATTTAAGAAATTCTTAAGAAAAATCAGTGAATAATTAAGGGTTAATGACCCGCCCCGTGGTGAATATGGTGTGATAAAGCCTTGTCAGTTGCTATAACCACAGAATAAAGCCACCAAGTGAGCGCAGCGAACGAGGTGGCTTTATGAGGTGGTTATAGCAACTGGCAAGGCTTTATCACACCATATCCACCTAGAAAGGGCGGGACATTAACGCTATTATCATATAGCTTACACGATAGCCTATCCAAACTGATGCAGTAAGTGACACAATGTACAATTTACCCGTTGCACATGCTGAATAGAAGATAGAACACAGTTCCATCTGGAGTCACCTGAGGTCACTGGGTAGAGTTCACGTTAACTGGGTCACAGGCAGGGAACAGGTGTTCTTATGGGAGTCACCCGAGGTCATTAGAACACAAGTTAAGTTATTTCTGAATTTTTTAGAACTAGAGCCGTGTTCTATTGAGTCACCTGAGGTCATATGCGGGTGATTATTGGGTTTGTTTAATGTATGGATTGGGATGAATAAATACCCGATTTTGACTCTATTTGTGACATAACGGCGACATAAAGAATGTGGAATGGAGCCTTCTGATTGGTCAACGTCACCCGGCTATGTGATAATGAACTATATAATTTAAGAGATTGGATGTATTCAGCAAGGTTTTCTCATATTGAGATATGATATTGCAGTAGACCTACACTAGAGCTACACAAGTGAAATGTTGAGCAAAATTCTGTCCAATAAAGGTGTAAATATCTATGAGAAAATAAAATACCTAACAGATCAGTTTTTGGTACAAATGTCATTTTATATCGTTCAACATGAAGTTTATGTAAGCATTTTGCCATACTGTATTTAACGGCAGTACTGATGATTTACATGTAGGTCAAATGGCTGAGTGAGTGGGCTAGCGGACACGTGATTGACTGTTCATGGGTTCCCAAGCACGCCGTCAGCGAGGGCACCAAGGCCGTCACCAAGTACACCAGCTCCAAGTAAATCCACCGCCGCTAGCGATGATACACATAACCCCGGCCTTTCTCAAGGCCACACACATCCCCACAAAAGAGCTGTCTCCATCACACTCAAGTACACTGTCTCACACAATATATACCTGTACACGCCAGCCAGTAACCTGCAGCTGCAGCTTCAAAACAATCCACCCACACGGAAATAACAACAACAACAAATGAAAAACAAATCAAGTTTATTCTGACGTAATAAAAGTCTGTACACGTTCTTTCCTGTCGAACAAGGCCTTCTGGAACAATGTCGCCTGTGACGTTCCTTAGAACAATGGATTGGCCGTAGCCGTGGCGACTATTGATTCGGGCTTACATTGCATTACCCTCAGCAATTGCTGAGGGTAATGCAATGTAAGCCCGAATCAATAGTCGCCACGGCTAGATTGGCCGTTGATCGGCGTTCCTTTCCTGTCTAAACATGCTAGTAAACCGTGTTTGTGTTTATATATAACGTTACAGATATCTGTGTGTGCGCCCGTGCGTGTGTCTGTCTGTGTACGTGTCACACTGTCAGTGACACCGTGTTTCCGATCACGTCCGCACCGTCACTGCTTCACGTCGCATTGAGGTCTCGGACCGGAGTTTCCTTCCGTATTACGAGCGATTTGACACCCTCAGCCCAACGGGCTGTCATTACTGTATTAAACGCGGGTCGGAATTTTTCACTCTTTTGGTGGAAAGGGGTGCCGTGCCGCTTATTAATACACTTGATTGATATTTTCTGCGCCCAATTTATTTAGGGGTAAATAAGGCACATCAAAGTACATTTTTAAATAAGGGGCCATTTTTTTCGTCATTTGTAACCATGGAAAAAACGAATTTTCCCAGGGTAACGGCTTAGTACTCGAAGAAGCTCAGAACCTAATGTTTTCAAAATTTGAATTTAATTAAAATCGATGCGATAAGTTTATCGCTATCTTCGATGGCCCGAACACACCCACAACGCATATAGAACGTACCATCCCGGCGGTCAGGCGAAAAGGCCACATAACCATCCGCGCGGACTGATACCAGGAAGTCTTCGCTGGACCACCAACATTGCGCCACCTATAAAGGCTACAACTAACAGGCATTTCAGAAAATACAAAGATATGTACACAGATATTACGATTTCAGGGATATCGCGGCCAAAACATACCATACAAAGTCATGTTTCCGGCGATTTACTGCGCACTTACTTAGATCTCTGGTCAGATTTAAACTCCGACCCGGAACCTTGACAAGATGTCAGGTTCATAATCTTAATATCTCAGTGACGTGACGACGAAGCAATAACTGACAAAATCTTCCATCATGCGTTTTCTAGATTTTTATTTATTGGCAGAAATCTTGGTTACATAGAGCAGCAAAGCTGACCTATGGGTTCCTTGGGGAATAACAAGACGACAGATTAACTTAAAACGACTAGAGCTGTAGGAACTTTCAAAGTTACTAGGCAGAAGTTGAAGACGTTATGAAGACTAGATGAAAATGAACAACAATACGATCAGGTCAAGGACTTTCTCTATAAAGACGTGAAAGTTAAGAGATGGTTGAAGAAGGAACCCTGTTATCTAAGTTACACGCTGTGAGCAGGATATTATCAAAGAACAATAGAAAAAAAGATGTTGGTTTTCATCATTTCAGGAACTAAACCCTTTGTTAGAACAAAAATGTATATTTTGGCTACCTGTGCCTTACCGTACCTAAATAACCTAGCAAATGATATGATGGTGCTTGGATATATGTCCAAAGAGCACCGTTCAAATTTTGGCATAGACTTTAATATTCTGGAAAATGATAATTTGTTATTTTCAACCCTGATATCCACTCACGAACCTTGTCATGGTTAAATGAGGCAAAAGCTGCTAAATCTATGCATCTGATCTGCAGTCACGGCTGGAAGGACGACAGATTACAACTACATTTAAAACGTCTAGACCTGTAGGAACTTTCAAAATTACTAGGCAGAAGTTGAAGACGTTAAAGACGTTATGAAGACCAGATCAAAAGGAACGATCAGGTCAAGGACTTACCCTATAAAGACATGAAAGTTTAGGCATGGTTGAAGGAGGAACCCTGTTATCTAAGTTACATGCTGTGAGCAGGATATCAGAGAACAATAGAAAATATACGATTATGTTGGTTTTCAACTTTTCAGGGACTGAATCCTTTGTTAGAACAATACTATATATTTTGAGGCCTAGTATTCCTAAATAACCTAGCAATTGATATGGGGGTGCCTTTGACATATGTCCACAGGATTCCATTCAAATTTTGACATAGACCCTCACTGGATGATGGTGATTTGTTACTTTCAACCCTGATATCCACTCACGAGCCTTGTCATAGTGAAATGAGGCAAAAGCAGCTAAAATCTATTTGTCTGATCTGCAGTCACATTTGGAAGGCCAGGATGGTGCTCGGCACACACAGGATGCGGTGGGACCATCGCCATTCCGGGGTCCTGTCGGAAAACAGAAAAATATGAGTGAACTGTTATAATTTGGTTGTTGTTGTTTTGCTTTTTTTGCTTTTGTCTCAAAAACGATGGATCAATTCATAAAAAAATGTGTTGGTTGATGGTTCAATACTGATTTGGTTCAGGGAGAGAAGTCCCTAACCCAGCTGACATGCACTTTAACCATCTTGGTGAAAGTAAAGGGTCTGCTTTAACCAAGGCGTCTTTACCTGCTGAGGAAGTCTACTGCAGATGTTTCTTACCTTCAGGTCTACTCCAAGTTGTTGGCCATGTCCTGGCCGTACTCCTCAGGGTCGATGAACCCGATGTCGTTGGTGTCTGACTCGCCGCCGGACCCGGCGTTATCCTCCCGGTAGATGTCATCCTGTTCCCCGCGCAGGGTGAGGTTCTCCTCCGGCGGGGTGAGGTCCTGCTGTTTCCCGCGCAGCAGCTCCAGGAGGGTGCGGGCTTCCTCAGCCACCCTTGTGAACAATAAAGGCTTGTGATCAATCTCTTGTGATCATTCTCGCCTGATGTACAAGTCACAATAAACCGTCCATGACCTGTCTACTGTTTCAAATGCCATAGTTCTGTCCAGAGTATTTACAAAGTTGAGCCGATCTCTGAAGTTTTGATTAATATCCGATTATTCTGTAGTGGTTACATGTACTACTATTGATGTTTGCTCCTTTCTTGCATTCGTATCTAGGGTATACTGAAGATGTTAGTTTTACAGGAACTATTTCTATATATTTATCAGCCTACCGCTCAAGTACTTCATCGGCGTCGTTGTCTTCAAATTCCCGGCCAGACATGGCGGCGTTCTCCCCTTCCAGCGACTCCGGAAGACCGCGAGAATTCGCCTGCGACCTTGAGAACATGATATGAAGACATGTTACAAAGTTTAAGCCTTTCTTTTCATGTTGGAACTACGGCTAAAACTTTGTAGCTATGCAGTCTAACAACACAACTTTCATTCAATAGAGAGACATGTAAGAAAATCAGAAATCGGATCACGTCTAGTGAATCCAGAAGATGCTCACAGAGCGGCGCGGAACATAGAAAACTAGTGGCAGGGTCCTCGCTGGTACCTGACCAGCCCAAATGGGAACCTAAGGCATGTTACATGTAGTTGGACTCGGGATTCATGGTGAAACAATGTGCTTACGGTACTGTTAATTGGTAATGCATAAAGGTTTTTGGGAAGGTCTTAACCGACTCTTCTACACAAGGAAAACCCCTACTCCTGCCACTTGGTCAGGTCCATCTGGGACAGAGAGGAGCACGCCGCCCTCTCGTTCCCAGTCTGTGTGGGCAGCCTAAAGACGTCCGGCTGCATGTGTGTGGTGCCGTCCGTGTTGTCGCACAGGATCCGGGCCAGACTGGTCTTCCTGATCTCCGTAAGTTGGGCTGGGGAAACAGGGAAACGGCAAGTCAATATCATCATTCTGAGATGCATTCACAAGGCCTTGATAGTCTTGCACATGTATCTCTGATCTTTCTGACCAGTTGAGCTGGAAAAAAGGGCAGAGAATATATGAAAAGATACATGTCGTATTACAGGTCCTTAATTCCACTACAAACATGAGTTGTTCAATCTTTGATCCTTGAGTACACTGGGGTCTTGGCTCTCTCTTTTGTGGCTATTTCTCTGATTTTTCCTGTGAAATCCGGGGGGTAAGTTTAGCTTTAGCCAACCTGCTGTAAACTGTCCGGGGTTCTCGAACCAGAAGCGGTCCCCCTTGCGGAGGTCCTGGAACTGCAGGCCCATCAGACAGGCGAAGGTTGGACCGACGACACCGCCCGGCACGGACTCCTCGGCCAGACCCCCCACGAACACGTCGATGTCGTCCACGTGGCTGTGCGAAACGAGACACATGCAACATTACAAATAAGTAACAGCAACAATATGTGGCAATATATCAACAGGATTCAAAGTGTGTTTCCCTTCTAGTAACGTTGATTCGCCGTTGGTTGGCGCATGACAAGAGAAAATACATCATCAGCATCAGAATTAGTAGAACCACCTCAACTCTACGTGCAAATAAAAAAACAGTCCCTTAAGAATACTTAAAGACAGTTAACATACAGATCTGTGCACACTTTTGAATCTACGGGCACTCTTCCACACCTGTGTAAGAATGTACAGGAACATACACGTCTACCTTAACATGTTTTAAAAATAGCACCTGTAAACATCCTCCAGCCTTATTCGGGTGCAACGGTCTGGGATTTCAGATTCCAAATCGTCGAAGCTGTTGGCTTTAGGCAGGCCACACCTCACCCTCCAGGCGTTGTAGCCGGGCAGCCCGTGGTCTCTGCCCCGCTGGATGTTCAGCGCCGCCAGGTCCAGGCCGCGATCTGACCCGGGAGGATCCGCGAACAGCTGCTTCGTCAGACCAGAGACCATGAACCGGTCGAAGTCCTGATGGGGCTGGGCGGTCAGTCCCCGTAGGATGGAGTCCGGGCCGCCCTGGTCGTTGTTAAAGACGTGGGATGGATTAAAGAAGAAAAGGCCAGCCGAATCGGACACGCGCTGGCCTCGTTGAAGTCCGGAGCATGGCGTAGGAAAAGGTTATTAATCAGACTGTGGCCGAACCGGTAGGCTGCCGTGGCGAAGACGTTAGAGATGGTGGGGTTCACGCTCGCGTCGTACCCAGAGAAGAACCCGCTCTGGAGGAGGGTCAGGTGAAACTTGGTCATGGCGGCCGGACCGAGAACGTGAGGAAGGTCCTCCCCGTACGTGATCTTCTGCATCAGCGCGCCGACGATCTTCCTGGTCTCGAAGAACACCCGATCGTCGTCCCAGTGCGGGTTGAGTTGGGAGAGCCGCCTGGCGATCCTGTTGTGTTCCCGCAGGAAGACGGTGTGCATGGAGGTCAGTCCCGGCTGCTCGTTCACACGGATGTCCCCAGCCAGCGAGCACGTCTCGTTCCCGCGAAATTCGTCACACGGATCTCTAGAGTCAGGCTCTTTTACGCCAGGCAGGAGCTCCTTCTTGTTTTCGTCCGCAGGGTTCGGTCTGGACTTCAGCAGGCCGCGCGCTCCTGATCATAGGAGAAGGAAGTGGAATGGTGAGGTGAGGTGCGGATTATGGAGAAGGGGCTGTACGAGCAACCTCCATGGAGGGGCTCTGCACCACGTAGGTTGCTCGTACAGTTCACAGTTCTGCAGAGCTCCTCCATGGAGGTTGCTCGTACAGCTCACAGCTCTGCAGAGCTCCTCCATGAAAAATGGAAAAAAAATACTCTGAAGAAACGACTCAAAAATGAACTGAATAAGAAAATCTACATGAACGTATAAAACGCAATCGAAAATGAAAAAGGCTGAACATGCACAAAAAACACTTTCGCTAAACAATCTCGCGTTTGGAAATGTGATGATTCAGTGTTTTTTCTGTCGTGGAAGGACACATTTGGTAGTAGAAAACCCTTTTTGTAACATTAAAAGATATACAGGACTCTAGTAGGATAAAAAAAGCTACAGATGTACATGTATTATAGTGTTTGGAAAAAAGTCTGAACAAAACAACCGTTCTTGACAGAGCAAGCTTTATAGGACACGCACTAAAAACGTCTGTTCAACAGCCTTTTTCACACATGTGATAGTTTCGTGTTGTTTTCGATAGCCAAGAACACCTTATTCCCCTGGAAAATGGAGGTATTGTTTTGGCGCGCCTCTCTCTCTCTCACTCTGTATGTGTGTGTGTGTATGTGTGTGTGTTTCCGCACATTTGTAGTCAGCATAACCTCATAACGCCTTTATGGATTGTGATGATATTTGGTATGCTGGTAAGTCTTAGGAAGACGAAGGTCAAGGTCAAATATGGGCTTCCTGATGGATGACCTTGGTACTGCAGCAGAACTTCTGTTTTTTGTATCGTTTGTCCTGAACATGCTATGGTCTTGATTTTTTTGGTGACAGATAGCTTATTCTGTCAGAAATAAGTGGTGTAAGTTTTGTCCCCCTAGCAGATTGTTTTAGAACTGCAGATTAGTTTCTGGTAAAAACTTTTAAAGCCAATAAGTCCAGATAGGAACAACGTATTTTCATAATTTTTGGTATGTATGTAGTCGAGAGAGAGTTGTACATACTTCAATGCAAATTATGCAAATGAGGACTTAATTTGCATAATTATTGAGGAAATTCTATAATTACAGTGTTTTATATGATAGTACTGCTATACATGTAATCTTTTTAATCTGTGGCAGGTGGAACATCAACAGATACCAATTATGCAAATGATGACCTAATTTGCATGATTAATGTGAAAATTTTGTGACTCCTTATTGGTGAATGATGGGAATTTTATACCTTGTGACGGTTAACACCACTATGCATACATGATGTTTATGTAGAGGTCATTTGCATAATCAATGAGGACATGTCATTTACAAAGACTCATATATTTCATGGAGGTATGAGATCTACGAATTCTTGTTGGGACTGTGCTGGGGCAATATAAAAGTTAATGAGCCCTGAACATCTACCAAAAAGGAAGTGATAACATCTTACCTGTCACTGCAAACACCTGTACCTCACACAGAGACAGGTAGTCCTCCCGGCCGATCAGCTGGACAGACACCCACCTCCCTGTGATGGGCTCCTCACACCGCACGTCGATAGTCTCTCCATTCGATGGAGTTTCCGAGTAAATGTCACCACATGGTGTATTTTCACGTAAGTTCTCATGTGGACCGACTCGTACCATGAAGTTTCGCAGTCGTTCTCCTGTAAGAGGTGTATTTCTACCTTTTTAGAACTGGTGTTCTAACTTTTTTTTAGACATTTAGAAGCTCTTTTTGGTCTTGAATGATTTAATCGGAGGATAGCGTTTACTTTGAAAGTTTTGAACTTGTAAGAGAACAAAAATTGTCCATTGTAAGTTTCCACCCTTCACTACTGATTAAGAAATTATACATCCAAGTTAATGTGTTTTAGCTTAGAAATGTGGTTTTTATGTAATACCGTATATAAAAGTATTATTATGTACGGTTAATCTTTGACATCTCTAAAGTAAATCTTACAATTTTACGCATTGTGTAATAAAGATAACAACTGATAATAATTATAGTTCTAACCGACTGCTGCCTATCTACTCACCACAGCAGTCTCCGCGGTTAATGACTGTCACGTGACTGATGACGTAAGTGTCTCCGAGATCGACCTTCCACCACGGCTCGTACTCCAGGTCCGTGTGTGTGCATTGCTGTAGAGGGTACAGAATGGTTCCTGTGTTTCCGTCCACAGCTCGTTCCGGAGGATATATCGATCCAAACAAACTGCTCTGTGTAGCCGTTTTGCTGACGGCAACATTTACCTCTGCAGGAAAAACAGCATTTGTTACATGTAATACGATATGGATCTATTTATTACCTCCATGAAAAATTGAGGTATTGTTACCTCCATGAAAAATGGAGGTATTGTTTTTGGCCTGTTTTTGTGTGTGTGTGTGTGTGTGTGTGTGTGTGTGTGTGTGTGTGTGTGTGTGTTTGGCGGCGTCTTTTGGCATGGCCAGAACACCGCCTTCTGCCTCTGCCATGCAGGCCTTCATGGCCCAGGTGTAGTCAGGTTTGGTTTGGGGAAAGGCCTTGAAGCAGTTTTGCTGGAAAGTTTGGTAGCCCGCCCGCCACGTAACTTGTACCACGGGTGGTTCTGTAACAAGGATGATCCGGGGTCAATAATGCTTACTAACTCTATCGTATCCAGAACCAAGCCTATGTAGTTCTACATTTACAGCTAGGTTACAGCTAGGATCAGGCACGGTTGTAGATAGTCTCCGCGTATCTAAGCCCCAAGCACGGTTCTGGATACGCGTGGACTTCAACAGGCCGCTCGCTACTACGGTAGAGGGAAGTGGAATGGTGAGGTGCGGATTACAACACACAGTATTGGCTTCTACCACCGCAGATAAACCTTAAGGTAAGAACAACAATGTGCTGTTGAACAACATTTCATTTCTTGAAATAGTGTGCGCGTTTCATTTTCCAAAGGGGTTACAATTGTTTCGGGATTTGTGATTTAGGTCGAGAAGTATTACACAAACGATTGAGATGCGTATAACGTGTATCGTGCGTACGGTTGCATATGAAAGAAATGTCAGGGGTACTAGTACGCAACTCATACGCAATGAGGATACACAGAAGTGTGACGAGACCCCTATGTTATGGTCAATACTTTCATTGGCATAGCTGCCGTGTCAAAAATGTTTACCTCTATTTGTTAATTCGCGTCAAGTGTGATACAAAATACCTTACGTTCAGCCTAGTAACAACACTTCATACTTCATTCGGCTAGGGACGTCCCTCGGATAGGACGTTAAATGTAATCTCCAAGCAGATCATACGGTGGCAAGGCAGTATCCATTGGCCAGAGGAGTGTCGGTGGCTAATGGACACTCCTCTGGCCAATGGATACTGCCTTGCCACCGTATGATCTGCTTGGAGATTAGTTAAATGGAGGTCCCGTGTTTGGGAGAGCCACACCCCACGCACGTTAAAGAACCCACCGCACTTATCGAAAAGAGTATGGGGCCTTCCCGGTGTGAGTGGTTCAAACCTTACAGTCTGGTCTCGGGGTTGACATCTTTGAAGAGGTGATAGTCACCTGTTATGTCAATCCTTCCACAAAACGTGGTAAATCGTCATAAATAAATAGAATAAATAAAATACTGCAATGTATCATATACTACTCACCGTGTACCTTCATTACACCGATATACGAATAGGTTCTAAAACAAGAGTTATATTATCCCCTACCTGACGTTCCGTAGAGGTTCAGTTCCTTAAGCCATGACAGCCAGGCACGGTTCTGCAGGCTAATGCAGATGACAAAACCGTGCTTGGCACAAATCTGCTTTCTTCCCCCAGGTCTAAATTATACCCTACCATACATGATTTTGTGTATTACTTACCAGCGTGTTCTCTAAGCTCCTCTATCTCTTTGTCCGAGGAACCGTAGACGTTGGAGGCGTCCACGAAGGCGGTGAGCTGGTTCAGCTGCTGCCGGCGGCCCATGTGGCACCCTTCATTCGGACCGGATAGGGAGCGAGCGAACTGCAAGCAGGGCCTCCCTGAGAAGTCAGGGTCGTTTGAGGGGATGTTGATGTTGAAGCAGCGTTCGTCCTCGGAGTCACAGGTACAGACGAGACCTAAAGATACACAGAGGAAAGCATAGTTAGGAAATATGGTGCGTAATGGAAGATAAGGAAGCACTGTACATCTCAGCCGAGCAACTTTTACCTAGGACCAGGGATGATACCGACTTCCAACTATCATTTCTCCCACTGTCTATGTTATGCATCCAAAAGATGACATGCCCAACCCAATTTCACTTCTAAGACCGGAGATGCCCTCGATAATTCGAGTTAGAATCTTTCTTCATGACATTGTCCCAACTCTGACAGAACTGAATTGCCACTCTCGTGTAGCCTACACGAGGCCGCATGTTGTTTTATTAGTTATCATTTTCCCAACATCAGTGGCTAATTGTAAAGGTACACACAACTCTGGTGCAGACGTCTAAGGAACTGTAAGAAACTAGAAAGGCCAACATTTGCTCGGCAGCAAATGCAGCAGATGGCTTCACCACATCCCCGTACCAAAAATGGACTTATACCCCTCCTACACAAATGGACTGTTCCTAAATCAACCCTGTCCAAAATTTAATAAAATATAATGTAGTGTTTCAATAGTCTATACCCCATGCAGTAATGGAATCTTCCAACATATTCTGCTGTTGGAACATGTAGAACCCTGGTAGAATCCGAGTGTTCTATTTAGAACTGTCAGTTGGGGATTTGGGTTTTCAAGCTACAATCACTGTTTTTACTCAAAATAAAGCAAACAAAAGTATTTCAAATGGATGAATCCGAATAGTGAACTCTATAGTCTAAGCATTTGGTGCCAAGCTACGCTTACGGTGAATTTTATGTCATTTGGTTTTCGTATTAGCGCATAGGAGCCAAAAATGTACATTTTTGGTCAAAAATAGCAAAAAAGTTCCATCTTACATACTTCTCAAGTGACACAAGCCAAAAGCATAAATAACGTTCTGTGGGATTGTATCCAAGGATCTCCCATACCAAATTTCAGGGCTTTTGGTTTTAATATCAGGTCATAGGTGCCAAAAATGATTTTTTTTGTCAAAAAAATAGCCAAAAAGCCCTACCTTACATAATTTTCAAGTGATTCTTTGGGCATGTGTCCAAGGTATCCCCGTACCGAATTTCAGGTCATTCGGATTTGATATTAGGGCACAGGAACCAAAAATATACATTTTTGGTCCGAAAACAGCAAAAAAAGCCCTATTTTTCACAATTTTTAAGTAGTGTATGTCAAAAGCTTGAATGAGGTTTTGTAGACATATGTCCAAGGTATCCCGGCCCCGTACCAAATTTCAGGTCATTTGGTTTTCGTACCAGGGCTCCAGATACCAAAATGTATATTTTTTGCCTAAAATTGGCCAAAAAAATTTTTTTCTAAAAAATTAAAAAAAACTGGGGGTATTTGCCCACTCTACCTTCATGCCAAATCCCATTTAATTTAGCCCCAAAATAGCAGAGATGAATCCATTTAAAGAAATGAAGAAGGAGAAGGAGAAGGAGAAGGAGGAGAAGGAGAAGAAACATGAGAGAACACAATATGCCTTCACCACTTTGGGGTGAAGCCATAATGACAATGCACATTCGTCTTGCCAAAAACATCGCTCTACAAAACTTGTACGTTGCGGTGTTGTGTTGTGAAAACCGAGCCTGACATCGAAATGCATTGCATATTTTCACGAACCTTCTTCCTGGAAGTTGGGCGTGAGAGTGATGTCGTGGTCCAGGAACTGTCCGAACTGCATGACCATGTGGGTGTTGACCGGGCTGGATTTCCGCAGGTCCTCGTGCATGGTCGTGCTGACCAGCCGCGCGCTGGGGAGGGGGGCGCCATCTCGTCCAGTTTTGCGGGGGATCATGAGTCCTGACAAAACAGAGTAAATTATTTAGGAGCGGAGATATTGTATCCAGAACCGTGTCTGTCTAGTTCTATGCCAGAATGGGTTAGAATCAGGCACTGAATTCTGCAAGAACGTAGATAACCTCTGGCACGGTTCCAGATACGTAACAACTTATACAGATTCGTGTCCGAGTAAAGATGAAGTCGATGGCCCGATTAAGCACCGAACATTCGGTTCGACTTCGGGGTTTTCTGAACAAACGCAAAATAAGAAGATAGAAGGGACTTTTCTCAAAAGATCTGCTAATCGCGCGATGTAGTCAGGCTAAGGGTCTGACCAATGGAAGGTCTGTTAGAGGCGTAATGTAGTCAGGCTAGGAATCTGACCAGTGGAAAAGCTGCTAGAAGCGTGATGTAGTCAAGCTAGGGGCCTGACCAATGGGAGGGCAGGTAGAAGCGTGATGTAGTCATGCTAGGGACCTGACCAGTGGAAAAGCTGCTAGAAGCGTGATGTAGTCAGGCTAGGGACCTGACCAGTGGAAAAGCTGCTAGAAGCGTGATGTAGTCAAGCTA